AATTATACTAACCTGCAAAAATTAAATAGGTACCTACCTAATATAAGTATTAGAACATATTATGTTAACATTATTTGACATTTGTAGTACAAATCACGGAAAGAAAGATATAAGTTTCCATATTGTTGATCTTTCTGGCCTACTTAAATGATTTCYTGGTCTGAAATATTGTCCCAGTTCACCCATGGTGGTCTACATGAATTATTAAATTTAGTATTTAATTGTATACTACAATATTTGCTGATAAATGATAATTATCATCGCTCAAGAGTTATATATCTGCATACGTCGATGATGCGTTCTAGTTTTTAAAAATGGTTTTCTATTAGCCGCAGTAAGTACATTATTTACAGGGATTTTTTAACCTATTTGTTTATTAAAAACGCATTTAATGAAACTATCCTAATCTAAACAAATTTTACCATCGAGACATTTAATATAGGTACAGATAATAGTATGTTAATATTTAAAAATTAATTTGACATAATATTTATTAAATAAAATTGAGCAATTTCTTTTTATACTTTTTATGTCATAATTATAACATCATAAACTTCATGAATAATTATTGGATATATACATGGTCCATGGTGAAAATAATTCCTATATATACGCCACTGGCCTACATGACTGTATTTACATACAATATGTATAAGTATATAGAAGAAAATACAACTACTTATATAAGTTTTTAAATGTTTTCTATATATTATGGGCCTTATCCGACGTAAAATAGTGAAAAATATAGTACCACTGGAATCACACAAAAATACATTTACACGCATTCATAMCTACACATCTTGCACGCGCAGCAAAGGCAGTCTGACCTTTTGTATGAAAATTAATTTTCAGGCGATACCGCGTGCCGTCCACTAGACCGTAATATAACCACAAAAGAGAAGATCGGTGCCAGTGCATCGCCCCAACTTTATGTAATAATACAGTAGGGTGATTTTTTGGGGGATTAATAAACTCTATATATATTATATATACAGTGGACAGTGGCTCGACGAACGACTTTTTGTTCTAAAATACGTTTCATAATTCAAACAATACAATATATATAATATACCACATACTATATACGCTAAACACATACCAGTCAAATCCAGACATTATTAAAATATGATGTAGCGCGTGTGTTGTGTTGGAGTCTGTAGTGTAAAAGTACCCGGAGGCGTAGTTGTACGTTTAATTCGGCTAGTGAACGCTCCCTGGTTTTTCGCCAATACCCCCGGAGGCAAACGCGGTTTAATTAGGTTCCGGGGACGATAGTCCGATTGAGAGAGAGAGAGAGAAAGATGAATGAAAGAAAGACACGCCACAGCCTAGTCGTCGTCTCCGTGGACGGTTGTGTTTACATTTCATTTCAAACGCCAAGATACCTAAAGACTTACAATATATATACACAGTATACACACACACACACACATATATATATATATATATTATTTTATTTGTAGTTTTATAGAATACTATAAAATAGTTAATAAGTAAAACAATCAAGTGTCACGCAAAAAATACTTATTTTCTAAATTTTATATAAAAAGTAACACCAAATTCCGCAATTCTCAAAGGTTCACGGTTCACAGTATGTTCATTAAAATTCCAACATATGTATAAAATATTATTTACTTAGTAAGAAATCGTATTTGGAAATAATCCAATCATTATAWAAGTCAAACACAATACCTAACTATAAAATACAACTGCAATATAATAGTACCTAAACATGAATAAAAAAAACTAATATGGAAAGCAGACAACAATTTAATTGTACAAACATAATGTAGATAACGATTGATATAACATSTATTAAAATTATTCAATAAAATTATATTTAAATAATAATGTATATTTTTTTWAATAGACTGTGGGATAATAAAGATTAAAAATGTAATAAGATACAAAATAGCAAATTTCATCAAACTGAAGGTAGGTATCTTCTGATTTACTAGTTATACATGGTGAGTCAATAATCGGTTTGAACTTATCCCGAATAAATTATTTAGAAACCAGAAACATAATATAGCATGCAAATAGGTAGGAAGAAGTTATCTACGATTTTAATCACACGACCAAAGCAATATAAATAGGTTAGAACTATAGGTACCGGTATGAACGCTAATCATCCGATTTCCGGGTATCGGATGATTTACACAGATAGAAGAGTAGAGTTCTTACTAGACAGTAAATGATCGAGGTATAGAAAACGTCATTCATAAAAATATTAGTAACTAAAAACGCTTGAATTTGCAAACGTAAGGTGAACAAAATTTAAAAAATAAACAAAAAGTAGGCCTTAATGGGTTAGTCGRACAATTAGTAACGACACTTAACAATAAAAAAAAAAAAATGGACGTTCGTGACTTTTGGCACTTTGGCAACATATAACTGGCCTAACGCTAGCGCTGAGAATATTATACACGAAGTGCAAGTAGGAAATCGCGTGGCCGAAGATTGTGTTTTTTACAAGCTTTTAGGACTAGGTACTATATCTTTAGATCAATAAAATTGTTTTCATTAAAAATATAAAAATAAATATATTATATATATGCATTATAATATCTGAGTTTCGTCTGTGAATGTAAACGTCTAATAAAGATCGCAGAAGAAAAACGGTATTTTTTTACTTAAAAATACTCATTCAGACATTTTGATAAATGAGGTTTGTTTTACTTCTCGTCAGCCGTCGTCATAATTYTAGAAATCRTCTCCACCGAAAACTCACTTTTTTCACCCCTATATACATCGGGACAACCCGTCAGTAATGAAATTTTCACCTCCTTCTCCACGATCTTTATAAGAGGAGAACGAAATCGAAAGAAATTTGCATAATCCTCGACACATTTCACCAGTCACAAAAAAATTAAATATAWATTATACAAAAAAATAAAAAGCTTTTAATTTCTGGCAGTGAAATGTTTAAATTAGATCTAAAAGAGTACAAAAAGGTGATTTATAAATATAGCAAAATAACTAACAGATATTTTTTTTAATATTAAAAATAAATCATGAATACAAAAAAAATAAAAACAAACATAGTACAAAATTTCATGAAAAAATTACCTATATCTTCTCTATATTTTATAAAAATTATTGTTTTATTTATTACTGCTGCTATGTATTTAAATATCWATCTTAATAATAGGAACTAAGAAGGCAACAATAGTGACCAATAAAATGAAAACACCAGAGTTGAGAGTAGGGATGGAATTTTTTTTAATACCTTAATTTATGGTCAGATTTTTTAGAGCTTTATAAATCACAAGTTTATTGCACAATCTGATAACACTTCAAAGATGTATACAAATCTCGTGRCAAATGTTTGTTATGGGTTATTCATCATCGTTAACGCGTTAATAAAATAAACAAATAATACTATAGATTTTTCTCCCCAAGTTACGATAAACAATCAACCAATTTAACATTAAAACTGTTGCATCAAAACAGACTACCATCACATATAATATTATGTTGTATATAAATTGCTTATGAATTAATGAACATTATATTATGACTCACCGTATATCCTCKGGACTGCAACAGTTATAAGTAGCCCAAATACCGGTAACACGACCATTGTGATTCAATTATTTGCACACTATAAACATAAAAATAATTTTACAACATTATTACAAGTCAAATTTAAGTCGGGATAGATGTTTGGAAATAATAAATATTATTTATTTTAATAACAATAATCAAGTATATAGTCGATAATATTGAGTATTATTTCAACATACACTTTTAATTCCTAATCCCAAAACAGAATATTTGTTTGTACTCCATTAAATAAAAGTCCAATTTTTTACAAGTAATTTATGAGTTATTATAACTTATAAGTATTTAATGTTTTGTTGAGCGGWGTGTATTTGTACAACAAGTAAACACCTGACAAAATGTAGGTCCACTATACAACTCCACTAATCATTAAATTATTACTTTATATACCACTTAAACTAATAAAATACCTGTCCAAAATTTGATTTTCATAGATCGAAATATTCCGAATAATATTTTGTTTTGGAA